GCCCTGTGATGGACCGGTGTCCTGTCCAGGGTGTGTGAGTGTGTGTGTCTGTGTGTGTCTGTGTGTGCCCTGTGATGGACTGCTGTCCTGTCCAGTGTGTACCCTGCCTTGCTCTGGGTACTTGCTGGGATAGACTCCTGCTCCACCACGACCCTGTACTGGGTAAAGCAGTTACAAAATTGGTGGATGTCTTCAAAAGCTGTTATTACAGTACTGGATACATGGTTATTATTCAAGATGGCTCCCTAAAAATGTGTTCACTGTTTAAAAAAATTGTGGAAGTGAGAATTCTGTTGTGACTCTGTGACAGAAGACAAGCTTGGTTACCTGTTTTTAGTCATCTTTAACCTGAATCAAAGTTGGGGAATTTTGGGAATAACTGGTAGGTTGTTTCATCCAGTTTAACCCAAGCACAAGTTTTGAACACCTTTGTTCCAGGTGCTGGGGAACTTTGTTTCCTGGAAATATAGAGGCAGACAATATTGCACATGTATTAGAACAGGGTATGATTTTCTAACTAACGGAAATGTCCTTAGTATACAGGTCGATCTTACTCAAATGATTAAAATCCTGTAATAACGTGCCATAGTTGGAAAAAATATCTTATTGCACATTCATTTCATTGTATCATCATTCTAACTCTACAGAGGCTGCATATGAGCTACAGTACCCCAACTGGGTCATTAATAAATCCACATCTTTAACCATTGGCAGAGTCCCCAGTTTAGGACAAGCCTCTGTTTAATCCCAGTGAAGCTCACCATGTGATATACAGTTTCCTCTAACTCTAGACTCAAAACCTTATTCTTTAGAAGGGGTTTACTTAACTGGTCCTGTGTCTGCTCCTCTGTCTTCCTACTGTATTCAAACCCTCATTGTAACTGTGTACCTCTGCTTTTTCCATTCATTGTGTATTTTTGTTCTTTCGTTCTCTCTGTAAAGCTCTTTGAGAAGCCACTCTAAAGGCACTATGTAAAATTAAGTTTATTAATATTTATTTTAATGCATACCGGAGAGCTCCTCCTAGATGCTGCTGTTTTCTTTCTCCGCATCTCTGTAGCGAGAGGCAAACAGATGCAAAAACATAGCCACAAGCCCATCTTGCACTCCTGTGCGGAGCAGATGCTCAGTGTGCTTGGAGCCGAGCTGTCTCAGCGCTGGGGCGGAGCGGCCGGGCTCTGTCTACAGGCTGGGCTGGCTGAGCTGTGGCCGACCGCGGAGGGCGAGGGTGTCACGTAGCGCTGTGACCTTGAGAGTGCTGCTTGTCTGTGGGGTCCCCAGAGAGCAGCCGACATCCAGGAGCCTAGAATGGTGACAGCGCGAGGGCCAGCAGGGTGCGTCTTCCTCGCACTGCATCGCTTCACCAGCAGGGGGCGCCCTGCTGCACCCCCGCGCTGAGTCAGTGTGTGTGTGTAAAGAACAGTGTGGAATGCAAAAAGGATTATTTTATTCCCTTACAGCGATTTATTTTAGAGTTTATTTCTTCTCTATGTGTCAATTTAAACACTCTTGTGCAGGAGTTCTCCTGAGACTTTTAAAACTGAAGCTGACTGAAGCTGAAAGAATTTGTATGTTAAATTGGTACTGGGTATGAGCAGTCATTATGTAACCACTGTTGGCACTGCAGAATGCCGTAGAACTTGTAAATGTGATTCATGTGCAATGCCTCTCACAGTGGGAGGACTGTGTCTGTGCTGCCGATAGAAATTGAGTTCACCTGCGCTGTACTCAGAGCTGAGCCCTGTCGTGTCTCTCCCACGGCTCCCTGCTCCTCCTGGGCCTTCAGGCGTCTCGTGACTTTGCCCACACCGAGGCTCAGTCATGGACGGGCTCCGTGCTTGGAGGGATGGATCCTGGAGAGACAGAGGGGCTGTAGAGTGCAAGACTGACCTCCATCCTGGAATCTGCTCATTTGTTCAAAACAGCAATGAAACAGGTGACCTGAAATCACAATATTTCAGGATGGGCTGGAGTTATGGGAAGGGTGGTGGTGTTGTACTGTAGGTGCTGCCTTACAGCTCTTGGGTATTGGGTTCAATTCCAGTCTGGGCTGCTTTCTGTGTGGGGTCTGCATGTTCCCTCATGTCTGTGTGTTTGTCCTCCCTATTTCCAAACACATATTGGCAAAAAATGGTAAAAAGATGATACCTTTTTAAAGTGATATATATGTAATCTGTCTGTAGGTGTGCCCTGGCGGACTTGTGAAGCACTCAGGGTACAACACCACCCAGCAGGCTGTGGATCTGGGATAAGATCCAGGTTGCAGCAACATTCCAGTGGAATAAGCAGCTTAATGATGGATAACTAGATATTGAATCGAAAGGCTGTAGACCATAGTACTGTAAAATATTTGTTAAAAATGCATCAAGGTTTTGTGTTTTATTAAAAGATTCTGGGAAACATTAGTTAATTCTTTTGATTTCGTTCCCGGTATTGGAGAACTCGATTGTAATGTGTTGGAGAGATGAGTTCCTACCTTTACACGGAGAGGAGCCGCGGAGCAGACTTGATCACTGTCCCGTTCGGAAGAGAGCAGGAACACTAAGGATATGACGACGGTATTGAAGAGCGTGCTCGCTCAATACGCCAAGCTCTGGGTGAGGGGAACGGGGGCAGCGGTGCTCAGGTAACAAAGCAGCTGAGGCCAACAGGTATTGTCATGTGGGGAATATGAGAGTTACAGGAAGAGGCGTGCACTCTGCGGCTCACTGCGGGCCCATGACACCCCCAGCTCCTTCGCTCTGTCACTCGTCTGCACAAACTGGTCTGGCCAGAACGCAAGCAGATACCTGCTCGAACACCTGCTGCCGCCCTGCCAGTCCCAGAGCCCAGAATCCCAGAGCCCCAGAGCCCCAGAGCCCCAGAGCCCAGAGCCCAGAGCCCAGAGCCCCGGAATCCCAGAGCCCAGACCCCCAGAGCCCCAGAGCCCAGAGCCCAGAATCCCAGAGCCCCAGAGCCCAGAGCCAGAGCCCCAGAATCCCAGAGCCCAGAGCCCAGAGCCCAGAGCCTCAGAGCCCCAGTCTGACGCCTGGAAGGCTTGTCCACAGGAGCTGCAGCACGAGCCCTGCTGAGATGCTTAGTGACACACGCCTAGAATCACTTCAGTCAAATACAGTAGCTTCACTTTGCATGGCACTGCGATTTACTGTGGATTGAAGAATGAGTGCAATTAGAGTACTCTGGGACTGGGTGTTCTGTGCTTCTAAGTCCTGTTGACTGTCAGTACAGTGACAGGGTGAATTAGGGGTCTTCCAGAAGAATTGCTTCTTCATGTTCTGTTTCTGCCTAACCACGTTGATTGGAAATGTGTTTTCATTACACAATATTTTGAATATGTAACAAATCACAATCAATTACTTTAACATATGTGGTCATTCTACTGCTTCTATAGTTTGAAAGATACTGTGTACGTTTTATTTGCACGGCTTCTCAATGAAATCAACAGCTTTTACTGTACCTTGTCTGATAACACATTTCAAGAGTAGAGTAGAGGAGTTTACTGCCATACTGGATGTACGTGTACATTGGAATTCTTATTCGCCCCGATCTCTCAGGACAGGCACAGTACAGAGCCGATGACAAACAAAGTGCGACAAACAACACCACACAATGCAGACAGTACATCACAAAACGGTACATACTATAATAAAAAGTGCTAGGACATACAATCAGACAGAACCAGTGAACAAACAGAACAATAAATACATGGTAGAGAACAATACATATATGGTGGTTATCACATGTACATCGTAGTCCAAGTCAAAAGTGTGTAGAGTGAAGGTGCATTGAGTTCTGAGGCCTCACACACTCTGCTGGTTGTGATGCGCACTGCTGTAGGGCAGAAGCTGTTCTTCAGCCTGGTGGTCCCTGCTTTAACAGTGCGGTACCGCCTGCCCGAACTCAGGGGGGAGAACAGGCTGTGGCCGGGATGGCTGGGATCCTGAATGGTGGATGGGGCTTTATTGTGACAGCGGATGGTGTGAATCCCACTGACTGATGTTAAGTCACAGCCTATAATCCTCTGTGCTGTTGCCACAGCCCTGTGTGGAGCATCTCTGTCACATATGGTAGTATTGCTGTACCACACAGTGATCATTGTAAGCTTATTATTCATCCCTTGGTTCAGTCTGCTTGTCCTGGTCAGAGTCATGGAAATCATGCCAAAGAAGGAGAAGATCTGGATGAAGTGCTAAGGAATTTTACTGCCTTTAACTGTTTTCCCAGCTGACGTTACAGAAAGGAAAGACCCAGCATTTCTAAAGGACGAAATTCTGTTTTGCCATTTTTGGTAATGGTGGCGACCACACACGAACATGAAATTAATTAACTAATTCATTTCAGTGAATTAAAAATGATTAAAAAGCAGGCTTCGCAGTGGCAGCTATGGGATGCAGAGGGGAGGCCAGTGGCTTGGTCATACTGGGGTAGAGGCTCTTCAGCAGGAAGATGACAGAAGCACGTCTCAGATTTTCTCCTGGAGTCAGGCCTCTTGGCTCCAGGTTTGTCTTGTCAACTCAAATACATTCTAATGAGCATCACCGTGAACTGGTGGGATTTGCATCTCTTAAACCTGTGATGTACTGTATGGAGGAGCACAGTTCTTCCACACAGCTCACGGGAGACAGCTCCCCAGGTCAAATTGCAATTGAAAAATTGCTGACACTGGTCATGTTCTGTGCGCGTTGCAATATAGCTGTGCACTTCAAATATTTGACACGCCTTGCATTTTTACCATTGATTCGCAGCCAGCAACCAAAACATGGTGGGTAGATTGGTCTCCTCTCCTTTGCAGCTCTGTGTCTTTGTCTGCTTGTCTGTGCAGGGCACTCCTAGCTTTACTGTGAAAGAGCAGAACTTCGGGGGGTTAGGTGAGTTGTTTTCCAGCAAGCAAAAAACAATAAACATCCAATATTGTTGAGAAAAAAAGAAATATCCTTCACTCAAGCCAGGTAACTTAAGACATATAGTACTGCGCATATATAGATTGACAGTTTTTGCATTGTATTTGAATAAAAATAGTTTAAAAAACACTGTTGACAATTTAATTCACAGTTTGGATACAAGAATGTAAAAGTACAGATTTGTTTTCTCTAGAAATGGTGCAGGATTATGCACATTTTATCATATAAAATGCCTTTTTAAATGAGATATATCTGCCTTGTTTAGAAATAAGATTTTGTTTGGTCTTGTTCAGAAATGCAAAGCCTTGATTTGCAAAACAAATTTTGATTAAAAAAATGCAAGTGGTTAAAATAAGCACTGTTTGGTTTGAAGCTGCTACAAAATTGACCATCCGTGATTATAAAAAACTGGATTACTGTATAAAGTTTTATGATATTGCTCTTCTTTATTTTGAAATAGAAAAGCCGACATCAATTTTAAATGTGTGTTTCACTGAGGTCATTAAAACAGCTGAACACACCCTGCACTAAGGAAGTAATGATCTCTTTTCTTTTATTAGGTCAGCGCATTTAAATGATTATTTTGAATCCTTCAGTTCCATTTGATTTCTCAGAGCACTCCACTGTGGGCTTGACTGCTGTCTATATTATGAAATATATGATAAAAATCAGGAACACTCCTGGATAATTGATATTTTTCCTTGTGTTTTTACAGCCTTGTCTAACCAGTTCTGACTTCAAGATTCTAGTCTGTTTCACTCTCTGCTGGGATTCCAATGTCCTGTACACCAGTTGTTCAATAGTGACTAAACCTTTCGGGTGATTAATACTTTCCTAAAATTATCACTTCTAAAATATTGTGATATGGGAATTATTATTATTTTTTTAAAAAAATCTAAGAATCTTTATTTTGAGTAGAGATGTTTGTTAAGATCCTAGTGATCCATGTTAGGGTCGGTTACTTTTTCACAATGGCGCCTTTGATAGTCTAATGCTTCAGACTCAGAATGAGAAAAAGGACAGATTTGTTCTGTATTTCAAACACGGGCTGCATGGGATCTGTTGAACACAGCCGGCATGTTTTAAAGCTTGGAAAAGAGACCCGATCACGCGCCCATGACCATGCAAACTCCACACAGAAGGTGAGGAGTCAAACCCAGGTCTCGGCTAACTGCTTTCAGGTCAGTCTGCGTTCACGCTTTTATTTAGCCATGTAACCAGGGAATTTAGCAGAACGACGCGAGCCGAGCGCCTCGCTCCGGGGCACCACAGCAACCAGGACACCAGGGGGAATTGAGCCCTGAGTCCAGGGACGCTCCCACTCCTGCAGGATGGTTTAGTTTGGCCTTTCCAGAACTGACATCCTTCCTTTTATTTATGCATAAGCACTAAAAGAAATCATTTGGAGAGGCTTGTAGCAGTCACCCCCGCTTTTCCAACGGAGCTACATGGCTTTTTGTTCGCCTCTTCTGCTCTGAGGACCGAAAGCAGGGAAGGGGGGGCGGGGGGAGATCTCCCGAGGAGAAGGTGGAAGTGATGCACGGCGATATTTCCTGCACCTGTGGATGAGCTCATCCCCCGGGCTGGGTGGACGCACGCAGGAGCGCTCAGTCCAACATGCTCGGCGAGGCGCTGGGTGGAGCGTCGGCGCGTGCTGCAGGAACTGGGTCGCGAGCAGCCTGCCCTCCGCCGGCGAGGAGCTCGCGGGGATAAGCGCGGCGGCGGTCCGCGCGGCATGGGCGACGCGGAAGACCGGCCCTGCGCCGCGGACGAGGGGCTGCTGGCCACCTGGCGCTGGAGCCGGAGCGCCAGGGAGCAAGTGCAGCTGAAGCAGAAGATCAGGGACCTACCTGCGCTGCTGAAGCACGGATTGCATCTGAGGAAGAAAAGTGCCGAGGCAGTAAGTAACGCCAGGCTCCTTCCTCCTTTTAATTTCGGGATACCGGGAATGCGATTGCACTCGAGTCGGGAGCCTGTTATGATTATAAGAGAATATTTCGTCTGTGTCTACCCCCCCCCCCCGAAGCGCCTTTGGAATCGCGGACTGGGGGGTCCGTTCTCGTTGCTGACATTAACAGCCGCGGTATCTAAGGCAACGGCACCGCGAGGAAGGGTTCGGGCTGAACCCGAGTTCAGAGTGGCCAACTGGGCACGGCCTGTCCGCAGGCGAGGTCGTGCTGGGGGGGTCTCTTCCGATGAAGACGGTTCGGAAAACGTTGTTGTTAAAATATTTGAAGAGCCCAGCGTATAGGGCAATAAAATGTCAGCACAGCGTTCAGAAAAACACCCCACTGCAAGTGTTGCCTGTCCAATGGTGGAAAGGTAGAAATACAGTTCATGGAATAGAAATAGAAATGTCGCACGGCACTGGTTCAAATTCAGTCTGTATTTTTTTTAAGACGCTTGTGCCTTTGTTTTTTAATTAAAGAGGGCATGCAGGTGTATTTTCAGAACAGTCAAATTTTCCTGCTTTGAATGGCAAATGAGAGCCGTGGCTCTGTATGAGCAACATAAAGCTGCTGTCGATGTCTGTTGCGTTTAGAGGTACGGAGTTTTGTAAAGATTGTTAAAATTGTGATGGGGACTGGTGCAGTTGGTTACCACGAGACCGTCTAAGAAATTGTCCGTCTTATGATGTTGCGTGAAAACACGTTGTCAAGTAGCGTTAAATGGATTACATTATTTCAGTTCTGCTTCTGTGCGTGCTAACCTGAGAGTTAGCTCATGTTACAATGTTTTATATGAAGTATCTTATCTTCTTCAGTGCTCTTTATAAAAATACCTAGATAAAAGTACTGTCTTTACATAGTGTACTGTTCAGTCGAGAAATTCGGTTGTGTAGGAATCACATCAGGCTGCCTGTGTCACGTAAGATTGTGAACTCACATCTCATCAAGACAGGCAAATGCTCATGCTGTGGGCTTGTATTGTTCTTCATTTAACTCGGAATCTGTGCAGAGGTTGATAATGGGATGTGAGTGTTCTTAAATGAGTCAAATCATCACGTGTGAGAGCTTGCAAGCAGAGAGCTCAAAGGGAAATTTTCAAATGTTTTAATTATCAAGTACACATGCCAGGCTTACCAAATAACCAAGTAATGTCTTTCCCATGATCATATCACATTTAAATCTCAGTTTCCACTTTGTTCTGGTGCCAGTAAGTGTACAAGACATGGGAAATCGGAATTTAAATTCCTGCCTGGATGGGTTTTACTGTCCTTTCGTTCCCAGAGTGAAGCGGACAGGTTTAAAGAGAATACCGATAAGCATTAAAGATGTGTTTTCCTTTGGCGATCTGAAAAGCAAACGGGAAAAACGTCCGACATGTATAAATACAGTAAGTGTATGTAAGAGACAGAGCTGAAAACTGCTCCCCTTGGCCGTTGGCAGCTGGAGAGCAGTGTTTGTGAGTTCAGGCTCCATGCAGGGGAGCGATATTGTACTCCAGCCTTTAGGCTGCAAGCCTCCAGTCCACTGACAGTCACCTGAAACAGCCAACGTCCCCAGGTTTTAGTTGAGTGCACCTTGCAGAGACCAGCCGCCTGACTGAGGCCAGTGTGGCGCCAGTCCTCACTCTTGTCAGGAGTGATCTTATCTTCTGCATTGTTTCCTGCAGAGTAAAATAACGTACAGGAAATGGCTGGAGATAGAAATGACAGAACACTGTTAAAAACATCGTAATACATTTTCTTTCAATCGTTTTCCCACAGATTAGAAAGAGGTTCGTAACCACTGAACCCATTAATGATGACTAATGAACAGAGTACTGCCAAAGACAGATGTTGAGACATTTATCTTTGCCTAGAGAAGGATTCTAGTAAGTCACTGCAGTGCTCGGAGAACAAAACGATACAGTCTTCAAAGCTACTCAGACAGAGTGGCCCATTGTAAAGGTTCAGCTAATATTTATAAAGGTTGTAGTGGAAGATAAAATCATGTAGCAGAGCTGGTGTGTATGAATAGCTTGTCATGGTTTTTAAGCATTTAGGTAAGGACTGGATTGCTGTGTCTGAGTCCCTCCCATTAAATAAACATCAGCGTTTTCGGTTCTCTTCAGTGTGTTTGTTTCTCTCTGCGTAGTGAATGGGAGAATTCAGCCAGGCCCTGCACTTGAAGCTCCTCTGCTGCGCTCTGAGTCACTGTTTGCACTGCGCTGGGCCTGTGTTCTGTCGTTGGGCTCTCTGGGCGTGACCATGAATAAATGACACAAGTGGGGCACTCCAGCGTGCGCACACATGAACTGCACATGGCTCTGCACTGAGCCCCTCACGGGACTGGAGAGAAGCTGAGCCCGCAGAGCCTGCAGCTCTCTGCTGGCAGACACATCAGTCACTGAGAAACTCCTGTGTGACAGGACGACAGCATGCCCAGGCACTGTGAACATTGTCTAAATGGCCCTTTTTGAGTTAGTGCTCCCTAAATGTGATAATAGTATGCAAATATGTATATTTGGGTAATATGCTTGTCTCTGGTCGTTAGACACACGGTGATATCCAACAAAGGTCTGTGTATTAACTGTTGTGTTGCTTAGCATTTTTAGAAGCCGTAAATGAAATTCTAGAGTAGGCAAAACCTGGCAGAAGATGTTTATGCAAGCAAATGCAGAACTCACTAGTATAGCCTCATTGGGAACATTATGTGCGGTTTTGAACACAACTGTATAGAAAAGACACTGCTGCTCTGGGATTAGTCCAGAGGAGAGCAATCGGCTACATTCTGGGGCTTCCAGGGGTCTCTTCCTCAGACAGGCTGAAGGCGCTGAAAGAGTTTGGTTGTGAACAGAGCAGACTGCAAAGGGACCTCGTACAAGTGTTCAGAGTTTTCAAAGGCATCGATAAGGTCAACACAGCAGGTCTCCTCAGAATGAGCCAGAGAGAACCAGTGGAAGTGCATCTACAACTAAGAACAGAGACCTGCCGTTACACAAAGGGCAGAGGGAGTCTGGAACAAATACCCAGCCATTTAATGAATGAATCCATCACTTTATATTCATACAGATACTGTTCATTTCTTAACGGCAGACATTGGCTTATGTTTTGATATTTTCTTTGCTTACTTGCTGCTGAATTTTTTTTGCCATCTTCCCGCCTACATTGCAAGCATGATGTTGTACGAGAATTATTTTTTTCCTAATTTGATGGCGTAATATACCTTTATTCTTATTTGAATGGCGTCTTGCATTTTTAAGATGTTTCTGAAGTGGAATTCCGCTTGCTTGATTCCTTTATTTGTGTGACAGATTTATCATTAAAAAATCAAACGAGAGCAGACAGAACGGTGCGGAGCAGAACATTTTAAGCTTAAGATAATCCCTTTCTGGCAGATAACGACCTGCTCTCAGCCAATCGGCAGGGAGCATTTGTTCTTTGAAGTTGAAAGTCGATGGAGCTGTAGCTCGTGTCCCAGCACTCCGCTCTGCAAGGTGCGCACACCTCCTGCGCAGATGTGCTCTTCTGCATCGCTCCACTGCCAGATGTGTCCCTGGAAAGGGTTGCCAACAGAAAAGAAAGCCTGACGTGTGCAGAAACATATTGAAAATCCCTTGCTGAAGAAAATGTAACTATAAGACTCCTGAGACTTTTCTGCATTACCTTGTCTTGGCCTGTCAGATAACGCAAGAGGAAGCCATTCGATCCATCTAGCCTGTTTTGTAGTTGTTAAGTGAACCAAAGACCTTCTAAAGATGGTGCTTGAAGTTTTCTGCTGATGGAACCTCAATATCAGTGTTTTCTGTCAATAAAAATATGACCAGCCTGTCATAATTGTTTCTATGGCAGAACTCGTTCACTGTACATAAAGCAAGCACTGTACATTAAGACTCGCACCGGTAGGCAGATTTTGGCGATCACGAAATTGAAAGCTCCGTGCAAATAATTAAATCATTAAAATCATGATAGGAATAAAAAACTTGTGCACTATATTAAGAGTAAAATATCACAGGATGATATTTGGTATGTCTCCAGATGCCCGTCATTGCTGCTGGTTCATGCCCTTTGCATCTCTGGGATGTGTGTTCACACAGGTACTGTATTTATTTCACACTCCATGGTGGGCCACACCGATGACCCTGCTGTCTCTTAGCAAGCTGGTTGGTTAAGTCATAAATGTGCTCCTCACATTTGATTATATGTGACAGCATGAATTTGAGTAGAAACTGTGAAAACAGGCATGTTAGAAAGCATCTTGCCGCCAGGGACACTTACAGCGAGGGTTGGAGAGAATGAGAGTGAGGGGTTTGGAGACTGACTTCCCTGAATCTCGGTAAGAGTAGTTTTTTCTGCCTGTGTTGCTCTCGGACACAGCGCGCCCTCTCTTGAGCTGATGGACCTTCGGCGATGCCGCATGCAAAGCAGAGACGCTTCTTCAGCTCCTGCAGGGTGTACAGCGGTCTTGTAGCACTAGAAGCCTGAACGACGCAGGAGTGCAGAGAGGCACTGTATCTAACAGATGTGCCCTGTGTCCACCCCCTCTGCATCCACAGCCAGTGCTGTGTTGTGTGGGAATGGTGATGGTAACGTAAGCTCAAGGCCTTTGGTTCATGAGCATGATCTACTCACGGCTCGTGCAAGCCATAGGCAGCCTTGTTCAAATGCATTGTGCCTTTATTACATTCTGTCCCCTTCCTCCAGAAGAGAAATGCTGCGTTGCATGTCTACAGAAGTGTCAATGCTTGTCTACTGGTTTGACATGAGTCCTCCTTCCCAAACTGTTACATTGTAATGTGACATGTTATGCTGGCAGAAACTGGAAAGAAGGGGACCAAAGAAAGTTAAAACATGAAATGCAGGGTTTGCCTCATAAATGTGTAAAATACAGAACAGTGAAGAATACGCATACTTGAAATAAAAAAGCCTGTAATTTTCAGTAATGCTTAATTCTTATTTTCTGGCTCTTCTTGCATTGGATATTTGACATTCTAAATATGAGACATTCTAATGAAAGAGATGACATTTGTGTGGTTTTCCGTCTTTCCAGAACATACTTGACCTGACGATCCTTCTATGAACATTGTCAGGGAAACCGGTTTCATGTCAATGAGCTCAATAGTGTAGTGACCCGTGACAGGCTTGATGCAGATATGCATTTCCAATACGGGGATATAAACAGTAAGTTGCTGACACTAGTATGATGTAATACAGTCCTTATGTCAAGTGCTTACTGTAGAAACATTTATTCATGAGGGGGAGTAACTGCAGCACAAGGACTTGTTTTTAGAGCCCCTCAGCAGTTTCCTCGTGTCGTAATATACCTGTGATCGCTGACCTCTCACCTACGTCCTGCAAACCGACCGCTGACTGCGAAAGCATTGGGAAGCAGTGGCAGAGATGCGCTGCTGATCGAGTGAGCTCAGGAGCTGAGGCGCGGGGAGAGTTAGATCTCTGTTAGATCTGTTCTTACAGTGTTGAGTTCACGGTTTCCTTTTGTCTCCCTCAGCAATCAGCACCTGATACCATTCCCGGACAGAGCACCGAGATTTCAAAACAGAAGGTAAAGCTTGTGATATAGAAATATGTTTTATTTCATTTCCAAACAATGAACAGAAATTCTTTTCTCTTCAACATGCCTTCTTTTGGCACAGCTAGGAACTGTGTTAACTCCTAGAGAAGTGTCCTGTGAGGAGAGAGTCTCTGTTGAAACGAACTAATTCCTATAGCCGAAGAGGGGAAACTGACCCTCTAGCCGCTGGTTTAAAGTGTTCAGAGAGGATACCAGTACTGTACATACCGTACCAACCAACTGGAAGGACATTTGCTACACTCCACCCTTTCTGCGGTGGAAGCTGTACCTGGGAGAAGAACTTCAGGGTCACAGATGAAGAAACATGAGTGGAAATACCTTGTTCCAACTCTCTGCTGACTTGCATGGAATCCTAATATGCATTTCCATGCCCGTGAAGCATCTGCATTTCCTAAAATTTACTTCACTCAAAAAACAGACCGGCACGCTTTCACATTAAAATGAAATAGACTGAGTAGCTACTGGTTTGCTTCCAAATGCCTTTTTAAAATGGAACCAGCATCCCATCAGTGAGAGTGTGCCATTGATGTAGGGTCACTTATGTAAGCAGATATGTCACAGGTCTTTCATATACTGTATCGTTACTATGAAGCGGTTTTGAAGCGGGACGCTGTACTCTTGCAGATGGATTTTGAAATTTCATGTTGTTGTCTACTGATACAATTATTTCCAGATTGTTGGTGGTCAATATTGAATAAAAAGGGCTTTGTATTTACATTTGTGGAAGAATATGCATGTTTCTGTGGTTATTGGCTTCTGAATGGTGCAGGTTTTTGTTCTGTCTCTAGGTGCTGTACTGTACATACAGGATCCTCAGTTGAATTGCTTGGCCTGAGGATGATGTCACACCTGTGCTGTACAGTACAGTGTGTACCCGTATGGGTTGCTGGAGAAGTGTATGGCATGTTATTGCTTCTTGTTCGTGCTGTAAGCAGAAGACCCGATCTAAAGGCTGGTCCTGCGGTTCTGTTTCCTTCAGGTCTGCGCAGAGAGTTTCCCCTGTGCTGGAAGAGCCCTGAGGAACGCGTTCCTGTCTCACAGCCTGTACCCTGCGAGAGACAGGATTCACCTGGCCAGGATTATAAGGTAACGCCTTGCAGCCTGTGGCAGCACTGCGGAAACTCTTTGCGGAAGAGACCTCTTTCCTGTGCTGGTTGCCCTGGCTGTCCTGCCTTTGTGTCTCATAAGATAATAATGACAAGTCCTGCTGGAATAAAATGAGTCGAAGTTCACTTATCTCGATGGGTGCAGCGAGGCTGTGTGAGGTTCGGTTCGGTTCAGTTCAGTTTATTTAATGAAACGCTTATTTGCATGTGTGTTCCGATACGAAGACATTAAGGAAACATAAACACAGAACAGCAGCAGCAACAAGAAGTTAAATAACATACACCTTAAGCAAAAAGCAGTGTGAGAAGAGAAAAAGGCATCGGTGTGAGTCCGTGGCAGGGGTAGAGGTGCTGAGGTCTGAACCCGCTTCTTGATTGCAGAGCAGATGCTGAAGGTCATTGTGGAAATGGGGTGAGGATCTCTCTTCTGCAAGAACAGGACACCCACACCTCATTCTCATGAGTTCATTAACTGTCTCACTATTCAAGTCTCAGTGTTTTAGTCTTTATATTCTTCTGGGCCTGTTGTGTGGAGAAGAATCCTTCTATTAATAGCCTGAAGGCAGGATTACATCCAAAATTTTCACCCACCTGCCAGCTGCTACAGTATTTACAAACCAGGCTTGTGGTGGTGACTTCTGTTGTGCCGGTGCTGTCTTGTTTCTGTCAGGTCAAAACCCACCCTGCAGCCCCAGGCTAGTCATGCAATTGTGTTTAGTGGGGTGACTGCAGTTTGAATTAAATCCACACCTAAGTCTTTTCATGAAACCCAGCCGGGCATGTTGGCTGAATAAGGTAATTTCATACATAATGGTAATTTAACACGAACCTTCCTCAATCACATTTATTTTAATGCAATGACAGCTTTAAGTAATTAAGATGTTCACATCCCAGGTATGAGCCTCTGTTGATTTAATACTTTATTTAACCTGTTAAAATCTCTTTGACAGGGATGACCTGTGCTTAATCCAGTGATAAAGAAAATTAATGCACAGAACATGCATGCAGGGTAATGAGAATGAGTTATGTAGCCGACCAGTAGCTAAATTTTGTAACTGCATACGCTGCAGTTATATAATTGCTGTTGTGACTGTAACTGTTCTTACCCATCTACTACAGCCTCAATTACTTATTAAATAATTAAATAACAGAACATCAGTATATGGGATGTTGTTTCTCATCAAGCCCTGGCATTTGCATTCTGTATATTTTCGTTTCACTTCCTTAGTGTGGGTAGAAGGAGTTCCCTGTGTCGTACTGAGCTACAGCATGTTCTACTCAGCTGGTTAGGGTTCCACTCCCTGGGATGATGTTCTGAACTGGTGAACACCATTCCGTGCCACCTTGCAGTGAGCTGTCAGTTGCACAGGGACAGCGCTGTGTGTTCATGGCGCCACACAGTGGGAAATACTTGGTGCAGGTGGGAACACGTTCTCCTGGGGTGGGGAGGGTTGGGATTCGTACCTGAGCCGGACTCTCCTGTCTCTCCAGGAGGAGCTATGTGGGTCTGGAGGGGATGGGGTAGGATTTGTACCTGAGCCGGACTCTTCTGTCTCTCCAGGAGGAGCTCTGTGGGGCTGGAAGTGGTAGGGTGGGATTCATACCTGAGCCGGACTCTCCTGTCTCTCCAGGAGGAGCTCTGTGGGTCTGGAGGGGGTGGGGTGGGATTCGTACCTGAGCTGGACTCTTCTGTCTCTCCAGGAGGAGCTATGTGGGTCTGGAGCTGGTGCAGTGGCTGCTGGAGCAGTGCTTGTTCGTGCAGTGCCGGGCGGTGGCGGCCAGGGTGTGGCAGGTCCTGCTGGAGCTGGGCATTCTGCTGTCAGGTAGGTGCCTGCAGGTCCACAGCTCTGCTCTCAAGCCAGGAGCAAGGGCGCAGGCAGGTCGGACTCTACACAAAGAAGGGAGTGGAAGCCACTGGCCCTACGGGGACAGTAATTTAAAGGACAGCGGGTCTAAAAATGTGCTGTCTGGGAAGAGAATCACAGGTGGTGATTGCTGTGCATTTGGAGCCAGTCCTTATTAAAACCCCACAGCTCAAGTCTGTTCACAATTTTATTTTTTTCATCTGCAATTTCATCTCCGTTGACCTCTGTCACATTGGTGGAGGTGTACGGGGTGAGGGGGGGAAGGAGGGAAATTTTCAGTCCTCCTGAGTTATTTCCTCGTTGTATAACTGGCGGATGCTGCGCTGCTCTGCGTTTCCTGCTCCTGGTTGGGTTGAAAGGCTGCTGTGAGGTGGGTGGGTGTGGGTGTGCGGCTCCACAGCCTCTGCCGCCCACCTGGTGCCCACGTATCTGCTGCCAGGGAGGAGGCCCAGCCCAGCAGGAGCAGCAGGGTCTGTCCTCGGAGCCAGAGCAATCTGCGCTCCTGTCAGAAAGGCAGCTAGTTGCATGAGTGAGCAGGGGCGTTCAGATTTTCCAGCGCCCCTTTGCTTTTTCAGTCTTTTTTTTTAAAATGTTTGTTCTTGTAGCCTTTTTAAACAAAACGGTGATTTGATTTCCCCAACCGAATCGCTGCCGTAAAAAAACCACAGAACCTCACCTCGTCCTCTGTCCCTGGCAGTCGACCAGCACGTCGTGTTTGAGGACTCCAATGTGTTCTACCAGTTCTCCTACGATGAGTGCGAGCTGCAGCACTGCGAGTTCAAGAGCGAGAAGGACTGGCAGGACAGCGTCCGGCTGCTCCTGCAGCTCGTGCCCTACGTGCAGTTCCGCGTCGGAGTGAGCAGTCCGTGAGTACAGCCAACCGTATTTACTTGAGTATTTTTTGACAGAATGGAACTGAGTCACTCTCTAAACGAACCCATTTTCGAGGTACTGGCGTCTGCGACAGTTCATGCGGTTAACAAATTTATGATCAGGTTATCGCGAGGACGTTTCGATGTAGTAATAATGAGTGTACGTTGCTGGAACACAAAGACTGCAGGTTTAGCAGTGATAATGCAGTGAACCGTTGAGCATTAAAAACGGTGTGCTGGCTTAGGTTATAAAGAATTGACTGCATGTGGCTCAGAAAACAGACTGGCTTTTCTACTGTTGTTCCTTTGGCGGCAGGCATTTTTTCACATTGACGAGAGAAGAAAGAAGACGCAACGTTTCGGCTGTGGAGCCTTCTTCAGGTGTGAGGAAGGCTCACACCTGAAGAAGGCTCCACGGCTGAAACGTTGTTTTCTTTCTTCTCTTTTCAGCCTGGAATAAACCTATTACTTGTTCCTTCGCAGCCTGCGCGTGCTGACATAGTTATCCACCTGAATTTCCTCACATTTACAGCAAACCGCTATGTGCAGTCCTCTTGCGTGGTTGTCATAGTTATTTGCAGCGGTGCAGGAATTGTGGGATTGTGTGAAAGCGAGTGGTTCAATGATCACGTGTAAATGCTGCCACATCCTCCTTATATTTATTTGACACATGTACATCCACTGACCTCTGCTAGTGATTCAAGGCACCTTCAAGTCCCCGAACAAAATGTGGGGGTGGAGCAATCAATTCATACAAAAATGTGCTTAAAAGGGCTCAAGGTCTCGGAGACAGAGGAGTCGGTTTCCAGACTTTTCAGTGGGCACCTTCAGGCCTGCTTCCCGCCCGCAGACCTGGCGCCCGGCGCCCGCAGGGTTTGTGCTGGAGCTGCGCTCACAGGCAGCAGCTGAGCGATGAGCAGAAGTCTTCGACCCACCTGCCCATCCGGTCCTCCGAGCGGCGGGCCTCGGACCGGCTCGGCTCGTCCTCCCACGCTTGCTTTTCCCTGTGGGGTGTCGGCGGTTGTCGGTTCTCCGTTCCAATCCCGTGGGATGGGCCGACGCCGACGTGCGAGCGTGCATTGTTTTGGAATTCCTTCTGCTTCAAGGGCTCCTGGTCAGCCGGTCAGCCCACTGTTGCCGATCTTGAGCGGTGGAGTTTCTTTGGACCCATTTTGTAGGGATTTTGGACTCCCTCCCCACCAGATTCCCATGGATAATCCTCACAGCGCCTCCTGTAGGGGATTGCACCGGCCGGAGCCGTCCTGTTGGCCTTGACACAGCTGCTGCTGTTGAGGTCTGCGCACCACGGTCACCGGATTTATATAGTATTCATGTTTTAACATCAGTAATTCCTATCGATGAGAGTAGGTCACGTAAATGAAATGTACCCTTGCACACTTCTGTGGCTTCGCAGTCTTGACACCTTGAGCTTGTACCCTCGCCACAGTTCTGTCTCCGAGCTGGGAGGACCTGCTTATTTCTCACTCATTTCGGGGGGGGAGCGAGAGACGTTCTGGATCCGTTTCTCTTCGTCAGCCCTTCTCTGAACTCGAGACACAGATTAGACCGTCTCTCAGAATTGGAGCTTGCCTGTATTTTTTTATTTTTAGTCTTTTACTCCCAGTGTGTTCGTAAAGATACCTCATCAAATCCGAACGGTTGCTGATCCAAATATGTCACTCTCTTGACAGAAACTGTGCGGAGAGACTGCCGCAGGTTTCTAAATATACAAACAGGAGAATCGTTCTAATCATCCCAAAGGGCACTGGAAAATAATGTTAAAACTAATAATGCAGGAGTATTAGAATCATACGTAGCCGCAGTGTTTTTTAGTGCATTGGATGGCAGGAAATTAAAATTTAAGCAATCGTTGGGTAAACGGACTGAGCTTGCAAATCCTCTGTGTGCAGCACTGACTTCACAAAGAAGCACAGCTTGAAGAGTGCTCTGAGCACAGAGGTCTCAGGGGATCAGGGAAGATAATTACACTTGCTGTATGAAGAACAAAAACCAACTGTTCTACAGTGCGTTTTAATATTCATCTTTAGGATAGTGTCATTGTAGTTTGTGTATGTATTAAGATTTCATTATTTGTATTAATTAATGCATCATAGAATTAATTAGAATTGAGTCTAATTGTTGCTTTACAATCCTGACGCTTTGAATTTGTACAGTAAATAATGTGTTGTATAACACAACCTGCTCCACGCATTCAAAGCATAAAACAAAAAGAAAGAAATGGATCAACTGACATCTGTGTACATTAATAGTTATATTTATTCTGAAATAAGGTGAACCAGTCTCTGTAAAATTCATTAGTTAATTTCAAACAGATTCAACTATGGAGACCAAGGAGTTTTCAAAACAGCTCAAGGGTTAAGCTGTACAAAGGCACAGAGCTGGAGAAGAGTATAAAACATGTCACAGATCCTCTTGTCTTTGAGCCAGGTGAGGTTGATAATTAAGAAGTGGAAGGCACCCAAACACTGCCTAAGCCAGGCTGTCCAACTAAACTGAGCAGCTGGGCAAGGAGGAAGCTTAGCGATGCCACCGTGGGGACATCAGTGAGGACATCAAGAGCTACAGAGTTCAGTGGCCGAGAGGAGACAGAATGTCCAGGGGTCAGCGATATCCTGGTCACTCCATCAAGGGGGGGCTGTATGGAACTGGTTTTATGGTCATATAAGACAAAGTTGAAATGTTGTGTAAACGCTTTTGCAAAGTGTTACATCTGACACCAGCCCATCATTGTCCATCACTCAGTCAGCCCCATCCCTAGTGTCAAGTCTGTTTTTACAGAATTCTCCTTCTCATCAGCAGTAGCTTGGAAGCTTAGAGGAAAAAAAATGATTTGAGACCTAAAACTGGGACAAAAATTCACCTTCCAGTGGGACAATCACCCAGGCGCAAGACCAGAGCTACACTGGAGCTGTTTGAGAATGAGAGAGGCAGGTGTCCTAGAGTGGCCAAGTCAAAGTCCTGACTTGAGTCTTGAGAATCTGTGGAAAGACTTGGGAGCTGAAAACTGATGTTTATAAGTGACAAATCTCCAAACGGCAAGAGGCAAAAATTGCACTAAGCCGGCGTGTCAAGTTGATACGTACCCAGAAAGACTTGTAGCCAATGGTGCTTTTTTCTCTTTAGTTTTTACTGTTGCTGTAACCTTTAGAAGTCTTTGGTTTGAGCATATAGGTTTATTTTGAATACAATATTAAGTATAAATAAATGTATGTACTTCCTTTTGTGAATTTCACAAAATGGGACACCATAGGCATGGTCTGAATGCTTTTGCAAGGCTCCATAGTTCATGCTTTTATTTAGAGATTCTGAGTATGGGGTTAAAACATATTCAGCAGATCTCGGGATATGCTGATCAAAATATTAATTCAGAAACAACAATGAGATTAATTTCTGGACCATCCGAAGAAAAAATGCCAGCTTTCTCATGAGCTGCCAAAGGCTACCTCTTCCGGCCCCTGTTGGCACAGACCATCGGCGCAGAGGAGTTTGCCCTGTGCTGTGCACCAGGCTTGAAGGACAGACACGTCGACCTATGAAATGAGCTCAGATGCTCTGCAGTAAACCCAGATGGGGTCAGGATCATGGAGCCTCTCAGATGCTGCAGGCCGCTGTGTAGGGAGCTGTAAATCTCAACTAATACATCAGCTGAGCTTACAGGGGCCGCAGCAGAGTTCTGACTTCGCTAGATGTGGAAACAAATTGCTCTTTGAGTTAACTAACTCGCGAGTCCTGCTGTGATGTTTCAGTTCATCAGTAAAGGGACTTTATTTATGAAGTTATCTGGTTCTTGTTGTTTGCAGTCTGCACCTATTCATCAAGGTCTTTCGGGCCCCAGGGGGCATGTCCCTCTGGACCGCTGTCTCCAGGGGGCATGTCCCTCTGGACTGCTGTCTCCAGGGGGCGGACCGCTGTCTCCAGGGGGCATGTCCCTGTGGACCCCTTTTGTTTAAGAATGATCTTCAGTTAGTTATCTCTTTAAATGAATTAAGCTAATTTGTCAAATTTGTGCAACACCTATCTAAATTTGACACTAACTCCTAAATAGTTTTTAACGTCTTGGGATTTAGGGACCTGTGAATCCAGGAAAAAGTTGTTTTCAATAAATATTTCTTCAGTTCAAGAACTGAAAAAGACATTGTGGTGAGCCCTTTCAGCTCTTGGTATGGATTCAGGGAAATTGAATATTGTTCCAGTAATGGAAAATAAAATGCTATCTGATTGAACCGCAGTATAAAAAAAACCTGTCAGAATGGCACAAAACGGTGGCACTGTGAGAACCCGTGATTGTGTTCAGTTGAAATCTGCTCTGCAGGGGTCACATGCTTGCAGGGAATACAGAGTTTAAACCCAGCAGTGTCATCCTTCTGAACTTTAATAGGGTGATCAATATTTATAAAAAGAGCTAAACAATTACCTAAACTTTCCTGTTTTTATTTTATTTCCTGATAAGCACAGAGCTCTGTTAAAAAAACTAATGTAAAGTCTTGCATCAGACCTGTAAAAACCCAAATCTCTTTCACTTCACTTTTTTTGCAGTTTTACCACGTTATGCTAAAATCTTAAATAAAATTCTGAAAAAAAGTGCAGTCACATGGATCTACTTCATGCTTTCATCTAAATGGGCTTGGGCACCCAGGCACTGGCACACTCAGAGTGCCATCAGTGAGAGGTAGTGATTTGCATGGGTTTGAATATGATTCAGACTCACGGCTGGGAGCTGCAGGGCTGTCTGTGCTTCATGATGAAAAATCTGGGGAGAGACAGAGGAGTATTTTTTCCTCAGATGGGAGATAAGAACGTGCTATCCGAGTTTCTGATCTCAGCTGCAGGAGATGGTAAAACAACCTTTCACCCTGCCTTTCTTCTGTCCTTCTGTGTTGTGAACGTCAACGTCGATAATTCCAGCACCAGTAGTCCATCACATGGGGAAGTCCACCCTCCACTGGACCGGGAACAGACATGGAGAACTTGTGATGAACAAGAGTGATTACTTTTTGTTTACCGTTAGTCTCCATTAAAGGAACTTGATTATCAAAATAAAGTAGTCTTTAAAACCACATCTGAAACAGCAGTCTATAAAGGGTGCCAGCCTGGAAATGAAATTGAGAAGAGACCAAGTGGAAATAGTAGCTGCTCTGATTCTGTCGGCACTGTGGGAGTGAACTACCAGCCTGTCTCGCTGGTGGGTTCAGAAGGAATCGGCTACGATAATAGAATCTCCCTCCTGGATTTTATTAGATAAATCCCCTAAAGTCTGGTCTGTTGCTAAGCGGCTGAATACGAAATCCTGTTACAGTGACTTTAAGTATTTTAGCCGTATTTAATTTTTTTGGTGTAGTTGTTTCCAAATGATAAAAAAGATAGTTTGGTGTGGTAGCTTTAAAAACACAGAATTGTAAATCACGCAAATGGCCTCTCTTGACCCATTGTTCGTTCTGCTGAGCAATTGTAATGTTTGCTTTGTCTGTATTTAAACTGGGATTTAATAGCTGAAAGTGCCTGCGACTTTAAGAGGGCTTTGTCAGGGATTCATGTGTGTTGCTGCTTGTGCGTTTGCAGTAATTGCGAAAGATCGAACTGCAGGTATCTTCAGTCCACACCTCACTGAATTAGGGTGACTGTTACGGCGGAGTGCTGATACACTGAGCTTTGCTTTTCCTGCTAACGTGGGTGTGAACAGATGAGCCATAAATGGAGGAGGAATAGCAGCATTGGAGCAGAACTGGTCTCTTAGGTTAGAACCCGGAGATGGGAAAGAATTCCGGAAGTGCCCAGTGATTTCTCAGCCCAGCGTGCGGGAGCTTTATCTGGAGCTGTCCAGTGGCTTGGGGGCAGGGGGCTGCTCAGCTGCTGTACTGTTCTTGGCCAGCAGGTGTCACTGTGTAACAGTGCTGTGGGAGCAGTTGGGGAGCATGTTTCCCCCTCACAGCAACACCCACACTTGTGCTTCGCATTGGTGCTTTTCTTTTCAGTACTGGACTTCTCTCTGTCAGCTGGACTTGGCGTGTTGTGTGAGTGGATTCTGTATTACAAAACGACAAGGCTTTGATTTCTCAGAACTGTCTTGCCTCAAAGCAGCTGTTTCACATACACAAAAGCTTGCAATGCATACAAACATTACAAAGTAAACAGTTTAATTTAATAGGTTTATTCCATGCTGAAAAAAAGAAAAAAGAGAACACAACGTTTCGGCCGTGGAGCCTTCTTCAGGTGTGAGAGAGACAGGGCAGTAGGCAAAGGTAAAGTAGCGGGAGAACAAAGGTTGGGAGGGAGGAGGAGTGAGAGGCGGGAGCAGGGGACAGAAAGAGAGGCCAATCAAGAGGTGTGAAGTCAGAATGGGTGCAGAGAGGTGTGAAATGAAACTTCCAATGAATGGAGAAAATTTAAAAGAACAGTAATCTGTCGTTAAGGGAAGGGAGAATGTGTGATCCTAACTGCAGAATAATTTTAGTTTCGGTGGTCTTTCTGATCCTAACTGCAGAATAATTTTAGTTTCGGTGGTCTTTCTGAGTTTAATTTAATTACATTGAATGTTCAATATAACATCACGTAATAGGCCTCATCCCACACGTGGTCATTTCACAGGAGTCCACACAGCTGGACCAGAGCCTGTAAACCTGCCCCCTCCACAGTTACACCAGCCCAGATAATTCCACACAGGTCAATTACCTGAGAACATCTGGAGTAGTGTTCTAGCAAGCAGCTAATTACCCCAGCCCGAGAAGGGAGGACTCTGGCTGTTTATTGCTTGAGGGAGTTTTCACCCCTGTGTGCTCGGGAACACTGGTTGAAAGGTGGTGGACATGACTTTCCGTGTAGCAGGACGCCTCGCTGCCCCTGCTGCAGGCAGAGCTTGGAGAGGGAGGGAGCGGACCTGCGGGTGGGAGAGTGGGCGGGTGGTGTGGGGGTGAGGGCCAGTCGGGCGTGGCCCCATGGCCTGACCCCCTTAAACAGGCTCTGCTGACACACCTAGTTCATGAAACTGCTGTTTTGTTACTGCAGGTTTAGATTTTTTTTTATGTGCTCCTGGTGTCTGTGTAGGCATTTATATGTTCAGTGATGTTTTTTTGGGGATTATTGTTAATTAAACAAGATTTCCGGCAGAAAGCATTAGGATTTCTGCTGAGAAAGGGAAATGGAATTGATATTCGCCAAAAACCTGGGAGTTTTTTTTTTTTAAAAACCACACATTGCTGATGCATGTCTGAAATTTACATAAATACTTATTGCTGAACAACACATTTTCCCTGAAGCAAAACTGTCAAAATGAATCTCTGTCTCTCCACCCCTTGGACAGCTTTGCACTTAAGGATGAGTAATCTGTGTGAAGAGCAGATCAAGTGTGTGTCTGTCTGCCATGTTCCAACCTAAATGTGCCACACAGAACCAGGGGGTAAAGCTGCTGATTGAAACCTGTTCTTCAAAATCACCTGCATATATTTTATTATTTCAATATTGTCTACGGATATCTTCTCCTGCAACTCCTATCTTTCAACCCACTGAAAGCCTGGTCAGTACCTGGATGGGAGACTCCTGGGAAAGCTAAGGTTGCCTCTGGAAGTGGTATTAGAGGGGCCTGTAGGGGGCGCTCATCCTGCGGTCTGTGTGGGTCCTAATGCCCCAGTATAGTGACGGGGACACTAGACTGTAAAAAGGCGCCGTCCTTCAGATGAGGCGTAAAACAGCGGTCCTGACTCTCTGTGGTCATTAAACATCCCAGGGTGTTTCTTGTATACTGTGAGTTGTCTATGTGAACATGTTTGAAAGGGGCAGCGCTCTTTTGCGTGTAGTGTGCACAGTTCACTTCAATAAAGCAATGGCTGAGAGAGAAACATTGTATCGTGGAAGAAATTACTAGGCGAGATCCTTGGAAGAGTTAGTAGCAGCCAGACAAGCTGTAGCTCTGAATGGCCTCCTATCCTTTGTAACCTTCCTCAAGGCATGCTTGTTACATTTTACGACATTATATGGGTACGGCATAATCTGGAAAAAAATGCAATCTAAATGTAATATGAGCAAGCTAGCACACAGCTTGTAATCCTGCTTTTGAAAGTAGTTACTGTATAGCTGATGTGGATGTAGTGGTGGTGTTCTGAAAAGGTGCGTGTGCCACTTGTTTAAACATGGACAGTGCTCATCGAGCCAGCGAGCAGTATGAGGATGTGCTTTTCCTGAAACTGGGTCATACGCAGGCAGGTGGTACCTTCTGCCTTGTTTGTAAAAGGCGAACGTTCACTTTGAAGTTTTCACAGGAGCTCGGAGTTCCTTCTGACTTTAATTAAAAATATGCTGATTAGATTTCATCCACGGACTCAGAGGTGAACACCTGGCACACTGAGAAAAGTGGTGCCTTGTCAAAATCGTAGCTTAGTTCTTTGCAAAGGCACTGTATAACCTTGAAGCGAAACTCCAAGCACACAGATAAGGCTTTGTAACCTTTGCCAGACTGTTAAGCAGCACCAGTTTGTTCTCTAAAGCTACCGCAGATTTCTTTTGATCTGTTAGCACAGACCTGAGTGCTGAAAACCAAACATTTTGATGTCATGGACAGGTAGAATCACTTCCTGGTGATCAGCTTATTATTTTTGTATGTTTCAGTGCTCCAGATTCTACATAACTTCTTGTTACATGTTAATGAGATGATAAACCCGTCTTCTTATGTGTTAACAATGCTGGTGTTGATGTAGCGTCTTTACCCAGTATTATCTTTTTTGTCTCCAGTCCAGACAGAGAAGGAGAACAGAAGAAGGAACTCTGCAATGAAATTCTACAAATGAAGGCACTGGAGCGCTTAACATCAACAGTAAGACAGAACTGGCGTGGTCTGTGCTTGTGTCTCCTTAACTCCTGCGCAGCGCTGGAGCTAAGAAAAGAGGCCTTTATTAACATCTGAATTGCCTCCTGATGTTTGCTAACTTTCTATGTCATGGAAGAGCGAATAGAATACATGTTGTGCTGTAGCTGTGTAGAGGTGCTGTTTCTGCTGCACAGCTGTTGGCATTGGGGTTCAGTTCTTTTCTCTACCAACTAATGGCTAATGAAACACAAAACATACTGTATCTGAGATCAGCTTGAGCCTGGAGGTTAAGGAACTGGTCCATAGATGTGTCCTGACTGCAGCAGCAGATTTTCACCTCCCCCTTGAACCTGAAAGATTTGATCAATGAACTACTAATTCAGCAGCACATTTGCACACGTTCTGCACAATTCAGTAACAGTTCCGTTATTCTGCACGGGAGTACTAAGACATTGGATTTGTGGTCCTGTCCTGGCATGTGCAGTTTGATCTGTTCAATGAGAAGGGCTTTAAGAGTTTATTATTCATCTTCATTCTTTTCATTGTCATTGAATATCATTCTGCAGTCATCTAGCGTGTACTGTATTTCTGAACACAGACATTTTCAAATGGCATTTACCTGCCACCCTGTTTGTGCAGTGGATGTACATTTTATGTTTAGGACTAATGAAGGTACAGTAGTATATTTATTATTCATCACTGTGTAGTGTCCACTGTGATCCTACTACAAGGAATTTGAGCTTAATAACAACTTGTTAAACAGGTTAAGCAGGCTGTTGTGTGTTTTCTTTGTGCTTCTTTATTTGTTTTGGAAACTGAGGTTGCAAGTGACTCTAAACAAAATATTAGAAAATGACACCAGACTATTTAAGGTATAAAAATAGAACAACATGGACCTAATGTAGAGAGTAGTATTGCATATACAGTAGCACATACTTTCTGTATCTGCTCAGATTGCCTTCAGCCGCTGGTGCCTGGCAGCCTCATGAAGACCCAGTTCTGATCACCAGCGCACTGCTCTTAGGAAGGTCCTGAGACTAGTGCTGTCCGCTGCTGCACTAGTGAGACCGTTTTCCGTGACTCTCTCTGCCCGTCTGGGCTCTGCTCTGGGAACACACTATTCACCAAGAGAGCCCTCTGTACCAGGGCAGTGCAGACGGCGGGGCTGTGACAGGGCCCCGGTCCAGGAGCCCTGCCCTGTCTCTCGGGGGCCAGGAAAAGCCCCCGTGCGTCTGCGTTGGGGGCCCCGAGGTTCTGCTGCAGGGTCACTGCCGACCAGCTGCCCGACTCTGATGCAGAACCTGGCCTCTACAACTTGTTTCTCGTAATTAAAAACGAATCGCTAACTCGGTAAAAAAAAATAGTTTTGAAAGTATTTGATCCAATCCAGAGCCCTGGTCCTGGCTAGTCGATTCATAGACGATACACATAACGTTTTTATGCCTGTGGGTTATGTACAGTAGCTGTGCGTAATAATGGTTAATAATATGTTGCAAACCTGTCGAGCAGCACAGCCTGCAGTTATGCCTTCTTGTGGAAAATCAAGACATAACTTAGTTAGGCGCAAAATCATTAGCATTGTCTTTATCTGATAAGCAAATGGAGCTCCAGAGAGCTGTTAATGACAAATATTTTATCACTGATACACTTAGCTTTTCATTTAAATCAGGGTGCAGTGTGGAAATCTGACCTTGTCCTGCCCTTCAAGAAACCCACCCAAGCTTCTGCTCGTAGTGTGTTGCATTATGTGATACTTCATTTAGATAGAATTTATTTTTTATATCCCTAAACAAACATGTGACCAGGAAGGTTATTTTCCTAGACGCGTTCGGTGATCTTTAGGGCGGATGATTTCCTCTTTGCCCTCTGTTGTTTGTGTTGTTTCTTTTAAGAGAAAGTAAAACAAAACACGCATCTGAACAGAACGAAAAGGAAATCGCTTATGTAAAGGGAGTTCCTGCTAGGTTTTGCCTGATCTGATGGGCAGATCTGAAAAACTTGTGCAATGCTTTGGGAAAGGCTGCCAGTACATGACCAGGCGTGGGAATAGAAATAGCAGCCCTTCTGAAAGCCTGATGAGCTCACAGGATGTGCTGATGTCAGCGCCTGCTCTGAGGCGATGGGATCTGGCACTGTATCCATTGTCCTCAGAGCAGCACAAACGTCTCCTTTTCCTGGGGAGCGTGTCACCGTTTGACGTTCGTCTGCGCTCTGTTGGTTCGACCGCTGTCTGCTTGTGGTTGTGCTATGCTCTTCAGCTCATCCGGCTGGAAAAAATGAAAGTTCTTGTTTGTCTGTGCTGGCAGAGAGGTGGGAGGACACGAGCAGCAGACTCCTTAACAGTCTTTGTCTCTTCTGGGTCACCAAGTCCTCTGTTGCATAGTTGGTCTAATTGTTTAATTAATATCCTAATAGCTGTATATCTGACCTAGCTGTGAGGAATTTCATAGGTGACTGTACCTTTGATTAATTGAATGTTTTGAGTAATAAACCATAAAAAACTTGACAAATGTATATTCTCTAACCAAGGATGTATTGTAGGTTACCCAGAATATCCATTAGGTTAATTGTTTAATTACTACTCCTGTAGAACAAACACATAAGACACTGGGCCCCTAGGAACTGAGTGTGACAGCCCTGGTTAAAGTACTGTACAGCATCTGTACCAGAATAATCCATGGGTTTCCTTTCTTTTAAGTACAAGGGAGGTGCAAAAATATACAGATTTGTTCTCCATGTATGAGATGCCGTTTCGAAACAGGCCCTCAGAGAAGCCAGGGGTGGAAGTGCCGTTGTCTCGGTTGTCCACCCCCTGGCCGTGAGGAGCCGTGCCCGGGGGGAAGGGAGTCTGACCGCTCCGTGTCTGTTCCCCTGGACAGGTGCAGAACGAGCTGGCGGCGGCGCTTGCGAGGAAGGCGCGGAGGTCAGGTGAGTGCGGGTGCTCTCGGCGCGGGCGTGAGGGCCGCTGGGCGAGCGCGGCGCGGCGCTGCGGGGCGCGTGATCCCCCCGCAGTGGGCAGAGGACGCCCGCCTGCTGACGGCGTGAGCAGTATTCCTGACTGTCCGTATTCCTGGATTTGTTTGCCTGAAGGAGGTACAGAGCTTTCCTCTGAAGATGCCAGCCCTGAGCTTCATTAGTTGTTTGTATTAAAGAAGTCCATGTTCCGTGTTCCCTGCATGGCGAGGATATTCAAAATGATGGTCGTGCGTGCGTGTCCGCCGCTCCAGGCGGCTCTTGGACAAGTGGCAGCTCTGTCTGCTGAGAATCCTGGGAGGAGCAGCCCTGCAGCTCTTTCTTTTCTTCGGTGTCCCCTCCCGCAGAGAACTGAACCCCTCGACTCTCTGGGCTCCAATTGTTGTGTAAACCTCATGGGACTCAGTAGCTGCAGGCAGTGGGAATGCTTACTCCTGAGCCTGCGAGCTTTAGCACACTTTGACAAGTCAATTAACAATGCAAGTCTTAATTACACCATCTGTTAATTAGTGCACGGCCTGTTCCATCACAGTAGATGTCCCTCCCAGGTCATTGCGTCCATAGCGTGCTTTCAGGAGGGCTGGGGAAGACTGAGCGCTGTTCTTGCTGGCCTCTGGCTCAGTCGACACTGGCCGGTCGCCCTCGTGAATGGCAGGAGGGAAGTCTTCGGTCCGCTTCCTCAGGGAGTGTCGCAGGAAAGTCGCACATCCCGAATGGGCTCTTTTGAGAACACGCTGTTACTGCTGGAGCCAAGGAGAGGGGTGTGAAGAGAACATGCAGCCTGCACTGCGCAGTGCACTGCAGGTCAAGCACCACAGTGCGAGTTTGAAACACAGCTGGAGATGTATTTTCTGACCAGATAATCCCCAGTAGGATCTGGTCTTCCAGGCAGTCCTAAGCTATTGTCTTTCTGCCTTTTCTGCAGAGCTGTGAGATTAGGATCTTGCTCTATAATCATGTTTTCCTGAGCAATTTCCACCTTGCTGTGCACTTGCTAAACAGCTTTATAGGGTGAAATATGTGATACATTCTTTTTAAATTATTTAGCAGAGGTGCAATAAATCCTAAGTCTTTTTGGTTCTTCAGTATATTTGGCTGATAAAGCTAGGAAATGACTTAAACAACACATTTATTTTTAGTGGGCTCTTTCGCGGAGGTTGGGGAAAAAGATAAGACCCTCCTTCCCCTACCCGCAGTGTTTCTGCAGATTTATTTTAACCTGTCAAGAACAGTAAAATCGGGAGCAAAAGCCCTAGTGGGTTTTTCAGTGAATATTAATAAAATAAGGAACAATGTTAGGAATGCCACCCTGAGCAGGTCAGTGCCTTGCACATTTTTAACAGGCTTCAACAAAGCTGCGCTAGACACGTCTGCCACAGGCCATCAATCCATCAGCCCCAGTGCGTTTTCCAGCCACAGGCTGCTTTCCACAACATGTCCACAGATGTTTCCTGTACTGGAATAGCGGACCTGTGGGCACAGAGGGGAGAGTCAACAATACCCCCCAAAAGGAGAAAAATCCCTGATACAGTGATGCCCCCTTTCTAGGGAGTCAGTGTTGTGAGCCTTAAAAAGAAGGCTCTGAATGCTGTTCGGTCCTCGGGAATCTCGTCGGGGATGCCGCAGACCAGAGGCTGATTCACCTGCTCTGAAACCTCAGCATGTCAGCAAGCGTAATGCAGCGTCTGGCATCCCGGAGTCCTGGGCTTCTTGGCGCTGCCCCACATGTTCTGGTGCTCCACAGTTCTGTTGTGGCTTCATTCTTTCACAATGCTGGGGGACACGCAACTGAAACTATTCAGAAATGCCGTCCTGGATTCATGCCTTAAATAAACCGTAAATAGGACTTTCAGGGCAGGCACCCAGGTGCCTCTGCCTGTGTGATTAATACCAGGGGGACAGTACTATCGTGCTGCAGGATTAGTGGGGTACGTTGACCTTGTCCGTGCTTTTGCAATGGGTGTCCAAATTCCCAAAGGAAGGCCAGTTTCTGAAGGGGGATCCCTTGTGGAAAGCAGCCACCTGGCCGATGGCAGCAGAGGGCACATGCTCGGGCCAGGAGTGTGCCGGGCGCTCGGGCGGGGCCGCGCAGACCTGGCCACAGCGCGGCACGAGTGTGCACAGCGCCCGGCAAGCCCCCCTGACGCCCCTCTGCCTGTGCAGTTGCAGTGGCTGACGAAGAGGAGCAGGCGGGAGCGGAGGAGGCCGGGCCGGAGCAGGAGCGGAGCGGAGAGAAGGTAGGGGCAGCCGCTCGGCTCGCCGGTCACCGCGGGGGCGGTGGGCTTTGAAGAGTACCGGGTTTAGCAGGCAAGCAGATATCTCTGGTGGTCATTTACTTGGTCTTGGCTGAAAGGATTTCTCCAAATCCTCGCTGTTTGATCGTAGTGCATCCATCTGCTCTGCTTCCGTTGGAGGGTTCATGCAGAGGTGTGGGATATGGAAATGTGGGAATATTCCTGTTACTGGGGTCCTGTGCCTTTTGTGTTTGTAATGGCACTTTGAACCCCTTTTTCAGTCTTGGAATCGAAGTACATACTGTATGTGCTTTGAGATTGTCAGTGGTGCGAAAAACATCCTTCGTTGAATTGTCGGAAGTGGTTGAACTGGGTTTGCATTGCGAGTTATGTACTGATCAATACCAATGAAATTAAGTATTAATTCACAATTTCAAGCATAGTTTTGCCAGAGGAGGATTAACGTTGCTGGTTAATAACCCTGTGAGAGACAGATGTGTGCACTGAGCATGATAAAGCTGTGCCTTGTTCAACACGAGACTTCCGAGACTTCCTGTAATTGTATAGGATGGGAAACAATCGCTGTGAGTGATATGTGAAGTGCTGTGTGTGCTGTGTCTTGTGACTCAACGTAATTATTCTTAGACGAAGACGTCATGGTTTCATGGCTTAAGGCTGTGATTGCCATTATCTTCTGTTTTCTCAGATAATGCTTCTGTGCAGGCACTTGATTTTGTGGAGATGTGCTCAGTTATGGAGCTCTCGGTTTCTTATTGCACACATCACGTGACCTCTGTGGCTGTTTCCAGTCATGTGCGCTGTTAGATAAGGCAAGAGGCTGTGGTCTTTGGGTTAAGGGTTTCATGGTTTAAAAGCTTGAAGGAAGAGACCAGGAGATGTATCAGAGGAGCTGTTGTATTTTAGCTGCCTATACCCTAGGGAAGTGCAAAGTTCAGATTGACAGGCTATGAATATGACAATGTTTATACAGTACTGCCTGCGTCTCATTTGATACATTTCCTTCTAACTCTGAATGTGTGCAGCCTCAGTCTGGTTGTGCCGAAGAGGCAGAGGCCTGATGTTCCCAAGCAGCTTGTTGTAGCAGCAGGAGGGCAGTGAGATCACAGATAAGCCTCGGGACTGACAGGGATGCTGAAGGAGGAACAGTGTTGTTTAGAGGTCGATGGGAACTTCTTTGTGCATAAAATACAGAAATTGTTCTGATTTACAGCTATTCCTTCAAGTGTGTGATTGTTGGTGTGACTGATCTGAGACGCTCATTATCGGTTCTGTTATTTTAGAGATGTTTCTAAAGACTTTATTTACATTTTTTAAACCTGCTGTTGTTAAAAGCGTCTAAACAGAATCACGGCTCAGAAGGCTTCAGACCACATGGGGAAAAATCTTCATAGCTTTCACGTCAGTGCAAATAAGGCCATCTTCCGAGGTTCATGATCCAGAAGGGGGAGAAGAACAGATACCAGTTCAGGTTATCAAGCGTTAGTCTTGAGTTGTATGTGGGTAGCTGATGGAGATAGTGTCCTCACTTTCCTTCAGTGTGAGTTAGTATGCAGTATAAGCTGTTGTTCGATTCTGTTCTGTTATTTATTTTGCTGATTGTGTTGCAACACAAAGGTCCAGTCTGTCTGTGTGTTATTTTTGGATCAGAGCTCTAGATGAGTTGTGAGCCCGGAGAGATTTAATTGACATTATAACCTATTCTGTATTGTTGTAGTAAGGGGGCTGTGTTACTGTTGTAATAGGAAATGGTTCCACTGGGATAAACCTGTTTAAATAAAGTCTGGATTAAGATGACAAAGCAAACAGTGTTTTTACTGGTAAGCTCTAATTTCCCACAGGCTGGGTCACTTTTTTTTCCCCAAAAGGTAGTGGGTTCGCTGCTTCTGAATTTAATGTTTTACTTTTTATGTATTGATTAGTCTGGCAGAATAGATTTTTAGAATGTAAATTAACTTAATGCTCAAAGTATTCTCAAGAAAGCTGAAATGTTGGGGAAAAAAAATCCTTCTTTACTTCAGTGAAAGAGGACATGACTGTGATTGATAGCTTCACCGTACTAATGGGTATTAGTAAAACTGTTTTTCCGTGTAAGTTGAGTAACCTGATCACAAAGGAATGGTGTTTTTCCAAGCTCCAGAAAGCAGTAATGCCACTCTTTCATCTTAGAAAAGGCTTAATTTCAGTTTCCTGCCTGGAAATTTAAGACTTTTTATGACTTCAGTCCTTTCCCAGATGGTTACGCGCTGGGCTAGTACTGCAGCCTGTCCCCCTGTACAGGCACAGGCTGGGGCCGAAGGTGGAGAAGTTTGTGAGCCTTCACTCAGGGTGCTTCTGCAGCACAGCGCGGAAAGGCTTTTACTTGTCCTGTAATTACTGATTGACCTCCTTGTAGCCGCAACACCATGCACCAGCAGGGCAAGCAGAGCTCTTCCACAAACACGCATGGCGTACAGCAGTGCTCAGGACCGTCCTACGCCTTGGTCCGAGAGCACGCGCCGAGGAAGAGATCTGTCTTTGCCAGCGAGGACGGCAGGGTGGTTGTGAAGCTGCGGTGTCAGGCAGCACAGAGACAGGGGTTGCTTGTGATGGTGCCCTGCCTTTCTGTGCCAAGATGAGAGGTGCTGAGAGCTGTAAAAATCTTCGAGAGACCCGTACTCTGAGACTCTGCAACTCTCCTTCCGCTTTTCCATGACTACTGAAAGTGAACCTTTCCTTTTTTACGAAATGACAAAAATAACTTTCAGGGAGTGTGTCTCTTTAATGGCGCATACAGTGATCTGTTTCTGTTGACTCGTGCCAACTGGAACTTGCAGGAAAGCCACAGCTGTGGAGCTAGGAGATCTGGGAAGGGCCTTCTGATGTGGCTTTGGCCTTGGTGTAAAGATGCTTAGGCTCAGGAAAGTGTAGCAACGTGAATGCTGCTGTTTGTAAGAGGTCGTGCCACATGCCGGGGCTGCAGTTTAAACTTGCTGATGGGTCTTCTCATGACCTCCTCTCGCCTGTAACCTCTTCTGTGACCCTAACGCCCCTGACACAAACCGGCAATGCGCTGGAACTTGGCTTCCTCGATCGATTCATTCCTGTTTGAGAACAGGATGTGTTCCATCCGTACGGACAGAAGTGAGACTTGGGATATGTCAGTCATGTAGGCTGAAAAGTGACATTTGTTATAGCTTTGCAGCTTATGCGATTAACAGTAAAATTTACAGCCCTGTAAGAAAAAAGTAACATTACCCGTGCAGCCTTTCACAGAATAAGAAAGTGGAATGTCAGAAGATGATTTTGTGACCATAAAGTCATAAATTTTGTAGTGACATTTAATGTTTTAAAGTTTGAACTACAGGCGGGGGCACTTCTTTAGAAACCAAGACGTAGCCCTTTGTCATCACAAATGAAAATAGCTGTGGCACACAGCACAGCACTTCGGGATGTTTAAATGGCCACGGGGTTATGTTTTAGATTGTACGAACAGAATGGGCTTTCATTGTTGCGAGTGTTTTCTTTTTAAGCTGCTCCCTGCGTCTTCTTGTAAACTATTGTGCTCCTGTGTTTGCTTACAGCAGCGAGGGTTTGATTTATCGCCCTCTGTGGCGTGAGAGAGCCAGAGGCTTGCCAGTGAAAATATATCCCCCCACAGAAAATAAACAATAGCCCGCCCCTGACGATAACGATACGTATCGGAGCACCCCCGCGCCCCACCCCCCCCGGCCCGAGCCAGCCTGGGCCAGCCTGGGCGGGCTCTTTCCCAGGAGCTCATTCACCTCCCCTTGCCGGTGCCGAGTGGAACAGGAAGCGTCTGGCAGCAGCGCCAGAGATCCCTGCAGCCCCGCGCACTTTCCCTCAGAGCTCCGTGGGGATGCTGCTAGTCTGCTCCCGAGCGCCCGCCGCCTCGCCGCACGTGCTGTAGGAGAACGTCGAGCCGCCCCGGCGCTGCGCCCCTGCCCTGCCCGAGGCCGAGCCATGTCCTGGGGCTGTGGATTAAAGTATCTCTTCACTCTGCCCCCGGCTCTCCAGACAGGGGTGGTCTGCACGCTCCACGACAAGGAGGACCTCAGCCGGCTCGAGATGGTCCAGAGGCTGGCCAAGGACGGCTGCCGTCTCCTCCAGGTGCCGAACAGCAGAGCGCCGGACAGGCCCTGCGAGGTGAGTGCCTTCCACCTCTCCCCTGCTCCCTCCATCTCTCGCGTCGCCTTTCTTGTCTGCTGACGGAGATGGCGGGGTTTCACAGCCTAGGCTCCATGCTACACTGCACGCTTTGGCTTTGATATAAAATGCTCTTTTTCTTTGAAAACAGTAGAACAGGAGGTGTGAGCAGGAGGCTAGGTGTGCTGTAAAGATGGGTGAGGCGAGCTTAAACTGGCGCTCCCTCGAGGGTGATGGGGAAGGAACTGTGTGAAGCTGTTCTTCAGTACGGTTCCCCAGGGACAGCGCCAGCTACTGTCGTTTCTCTTTCACACCTGACTGGCATCTTCTGGGATGCGGCAGGCTCTCAGTGGGCTGGCATGTTGTTCAGAAGGGAGCTATTTTGGGTGCTTGAAGCCCTGTAGCGCAGACTGTGAACCGGTCTTCAGAGCTGTGGCAGGTGAAGTTGATTTTTAGTAAAGTTAACCCTGAGCTCAATTTTTCTACTGATAATATTGTGCATCTCTAGAGCTGTAAATGTCACAGGACGTAATCATTGGGGAAATTTTCTTTTTCACACGAAACATCAGTGTACTTGGTGCAAGAGTGGAAGAAAACTTCCCCTTCCTCGTCCACAGTGAAACACAAACCTGAGGGCACTTGGGATAAGGAAGTCTGTTGTTCCCTGGGAGCAGGAGGATCTTCTTTACGCAGAGGGTTTTGGGAGTGTTGATCAAGCGACATGGCCATGTCCCAGAAGCCGTTATCCTGCCTTCTTTCATGAAACTGTCCCACTGTCATCCAAATGGGCTGGATGGCCTCACGATTGACTGTTCTTCTACTCTTCTGTTGTAAATGGGAGCTGTACAGGATCAGGCTGTGAATGTGCTTGTTTTTGGAAGATGATTTTGTACAAATTGAAGAACGTGAAGAGTATGGAAGTTTGTGTGTTTTTTTTTATCTAGAGCTGAGAAAAGACGTTTATTTTACCCAATGCTTCTACTTTCAGTTCACTGGTTTGAAAGTGTTGTACAGTGTAGGTCAGAAGAACTTTGCTTTTGTCTCTTTTTTTTTTTTGGCATAGTAGTCAATTTCTGTTTTCCTATTTGGGAAATTGCTCTTGGCCGTGCGTGTCTTGTGCTGTACATTTGTGATGGCGTGTCTGGGCATGGCGCTGCCCAGTCTTTCCCTGCTTACACATCTCTGACTCCACTCAGCCCTTCCTGCCTGTGGGGATTCGGGGGTCACTGGTTTACCCCCTCACCCAGAGCCTGATCTCAACACAAGGGGCCTTTCCTCTTCTCTCGTCACAAATCCTCCTGCCAGTTCCTTCTGTACAGGACAGAGATGCAGAAGAGCTGCACACACAACCTGTGCACACCAATCCAGTCTGAACTCACACACACGCACACACACACAACCTGTACACACCAATTCAGTCTGAACCCCCCCCCCACACACACACAGAACCTGTACACACCAATTCAGTCTGAAACCCACACACACACACGCACAGACACACACAACCTGTACACACCGGTTGTGTCTGAAACACACACACAAAGCCTGTACACACTGGTATCCGATGGTGCCACTTTTCTGTTTTATTTATATTCTTATTTTCTCTACAGAACTGTAAGTAAAATGTCAAGATTTTTTATTTCCACTGTAGACATTCCCCGTTCATGTATTGCTAAGTCCTTTAGAGCTGATTTTGTCATTCTGCTCCTTTCTCTCAATGTACGTAAGATAATAATACACGTATTGGTATGTAAGAAGGCCCTGGCAGACTGCTCCTGTCTCTGTGCTTGTCTCTGGCCAGTCTTGTGACAGCCAGGAAGCGGTTGACTGTGCCTTTCCAGTTACACTCTCAGCAAAGAGGAAGCGAACACCGTACACACCCTAGCGCTCTGATTTCCATGGTGACTGTTTCCTCTGCATCCAGACCTACAGCGTTTCGCTTCCTCGGTGGTTTAGAGTTAAGACTGTTGCAGTTTTTGGTGGGAAGGTTTGGTTTGTTATTTTATTCCGAGACAAAAGATTTTATCTTTTCATTTTATGTGGAGATCCAGTACAGTGAAGTAATGGCCATAAATGGAATCCCCTGCCTGGCTGAGAAAGCTACAGGGGCGAGGCGACACAGACGGACAGTTTGGTGTTTGGTGCCCAAAGCTGGAGCTTTTTCTTACTTTTATTTCGTGCCAAGCAACGCGTTGTCAGTCTGATATGCCAGTCCTCTGTGGAATGTTCCGTCTTCCAGGTGGAAACTACAGGGAAGTACATTTTAAAGCCGAGATCAGGAGGCACATGTTTACGCGCAGGGTTGTGGGGGTTTGGAACAAGTTGTCCCGTCATGCTGAAGCCAATACCCTGGCTTCTTTCAAGAAACGGCAGGATGAGATTCTTGGCCACGCCGGCCAAATGGCTTCCTTCCGTTTGCGACTGTTCTTATGCTCCAAAGTCATATGACAACAGGAGCTGAAGCCCGCCCATTCTTCACAAAATCTTCCAGACATGAGAGTCTGGGCCCTGAAGATGTCCACCATTCTGCCACCACAGGTCTTTCAGAAGCACATTCTGGATGCACTTCAGCGCAGTGACGTGAGCAGCACTTCCAGGAGCTCCTGGTCACCCCTAGGGCTCACAGAAGGAGCCCTGACTGTTCTTTCAGTGCACTCCTGCTGTGATCTGATCGATTAAAAAACAAGCAGTGGTTCTTGATGGGAAGGCACAACGCCGCACAGAGGTTTTGTTTTAGTGTTAAAGGTGAGATCTTAGTTGTCTTGAAGGACAGCTCCCCCTCCAGGCAGCAGGGAAGGGAGAGCTCTGGGCTCTGAGCCTGCGATCTGAGAAGACACCCTTTCACATGAAAGTAAAAGAGAGTTTATCTTTCTGATTACAATGCCGATTAGACAGCTGGATTGGATGGGTCTGATGCGTGAGACCTTTCACGGTTGGTCTGATGAATCCGTTATGGTGGAAAATGAAAGCAAGGCTTTTACTGAAAGAAGGGGGGGGGGTGTACTTTTCTGCTGAGCTGTAAAGAGAAAAGCAAAGCAGTTTGTTTCCATGATGCACCTGGCCGGAGAAAGCACGCTGTTACTGAAAATAGTGCGTCATGTCATGTCATGTCGCTGAAGAGCCGACTGCACACAGTGGAACTGGAGCCTGTCCTGCGCAGGGCCGTGTCTGTGGGGCTCACTGCCCAGGGCCAGTACAGACTCCCCGACTGTTCTTGAAAAGGGCATGAGAGAGATTGAGAAATATCAACAATTTTAATCCATAATTTAGATTTACCTTGTTTTACCAGGTCAGTTTGCTGTACTTTTTGGTCAATTGTTTGTGTGTGTTATTGCGCAGGGCTTTATGTTTCTTGAGGTACGCTGAAAAATGAATCACATTGATTGTCGAATAGTCTAAAGCAATTTTACACAATTTGCATTGAATTGTTTTTGCTATTTTGTAGCTATGGTCAATTTTATTGAGGTGTTTGCTTGAGATGATTGACGTTCGTGAAATGTGCTATTGTTCTAGCTACAGTACATCATTTTTGTCCTTGATTTTATTTAGTCTTCAGTGAAATGGCTGGTGTGGCACTCGGACATTTTTAAATGTTCCAAGGAGAAGTGCCTCATATTAAGGAGCAGTAAGAATGGAATGAGCAGATCATTAATTGTTTATACCGTATGCCTTCAGAGCCGTTCCCTGCCTTTCCTCGGGGATAAAAGGTTTTGCTGGTGTGTCCTAGCAAAGTGCTTTTGAGACACTTAACATTCGCTTCCAGTGCAACAGGGAATCAGCCACTTAATTGTCAGTTAATCCCGAGCTTTTAAACAAGATGGGGACTGTTTAATAGATGTTCACCTGTAAAATGAATGAAAGACATCTATTATTTGTGGTTATCTTTATAACTGAAAAGTGTATAACTTCAAAAACTATATAAACCATATGACTATACTTTATGACAAAAATCATTTTTTGTGGAAAGCGCAACATCCCTTGTTTTTTATTCTATAATTTTAACTATATATCCCATAACATGGTTTGCCTTTTAGCTAAGATCCCCACATTTATCATGCAAAATTAGCTTTGACCGTAATATCCCCACTTACTGTATCTCATTATTAAGGAAAATATTTCTTAGATGATTAGGTTACTAGCAGCAAACTAGCAAGATGGACTGAATAACCTTGTTTATGTGTATCAGTAGTACAGCAAATAGACATGATGCAGACATACATACTGGCATTATGTACCTGACCCAGGATATCCACTTATTTAATAAGTGAAGAATGTGTTTTTTAAACTAATCGTAGTACAGTTAGTGATGTGTGGGGAGTGTTCTGGCGCACCACGGCCGCATCATCCAGGTGGGGCTGCACACTGGTGGTGGTGGAGAGGAGTCCCCATTACCTGTAAAGCGCTTTGAGTGTAAGCAATTATTATTATTTTTATAACAGTTGTTGGGTCACTGTTCCAGTGCTCTGATTTAAAAGAAGAGACCCCAAGGCTTCCTTGAAACTCTGAGAGTGCGCAGTGTGCCCCATGCCAGCTTGGTGGCTCGGTGTGGCGAGGCGAAGGTGTTGAGGTCCCTGGTCCACCGGCCAGGGCCCAGCGCTGCGGAGCTCCTGCAGCTGAGCAGGAAGAAGCAAAGTAAGCAAAACCGCCCACTGCACCGTGCAAGTCACGAGCAGCTTCCTCTGGAGCACAGCAGGCTGAGGAATTAGCCTGTGCTCGGGAAGGACAAAAAAGGCTGATCTTTTTTTTTTCCTCTGTGAGATGCTTTTTGCAAAGGCTGTGTGTTTTTACACACAGTAGGAGTTTCTGTAGCTGCAAGCATAATGCTGTCTATCCAACAGCTGGATTTTCTCTTCCTTCTTCTAGAGTCGGAAACCTCTGGCTTTGGAACTGCTGGAAAAAAGGGACTGTCATCTGGCTAAAAATTTCTTTAAAATTATTGAAATATGGGGGATAGTACACGGTATTTTAAAAGATTACTTTCAGCACACCATGAGGCTGTT